TTCGCTTGAAGATGAAATGGAACTAATGTCTTTAATTTAATTACAAAATTAAATTCAAAGCTTTTAGCTTCCATTCTTGAAACATGGTTAGAACTGTGTGGCGAAAAAAAAACATATTTTACATCAATTTTTTTATAATATTAATGCTCTGTAAATTTACAATGAACACTATTTTGTAAAAATAAAAAATAAATATATATATAAGAACACCGGATTATATATCTTACCGTTCTTTCTTTATATATATATATATATATATATATATATATATATATGTAAATATATATATATATATATATATATGTATGTATGTATGTGTGTGTGCATAATGCATAAAATAGAATTATTAGCAGAAACTATGGAAAGAGGTGGAACTTTTCCAAATTCTGTTTCAGAGAAATTGGAACAGATTCCTGAAATAGGATATAAAATTTATTAACTTCAACTTGAATGTACATCCGGAGAGTAGTAAAGATAAGAGCTCAGAAATTAATTTAATGTTCTGTCAAATACATCTGTTAATATGAATGTGACGTTGATAATAATGGGACAAGATAAAGAAAGTTGATGACACATTCTTAAGTCAATATATTGGCGAAATGACAATGATTGAATATGTGGAATAAAAGAGGGACTCATTAGTAGAGAGGATGGTGTCAACTTTGTTATCAATTGAGGGCTACACTCGTCAAAATAATGAAAGCATAAAAAAAAATTAAACAAAATACTTGCCAAATACATGAAGAATTTGTGCAATAGACGAACAGTTCCAGAGAATTTGAAAAGTGCCTGGGGGAATATCTGATTCTGTTAGTGTATTGAAAAAGGCGGCGGCAGTACACATCATTAGTGGTGAACTTGGAAGAATCCCAGAGGATTTCGCAAAGAGCTATGGAGAAATATTTCGGTTCTTTCTAGCGAATTAAAAAAGGCGATGGTAGTACCCAACATTATTGGAACACCTGGAACAACCCCAAAGGATATTGCAAAGAGAATATCTGAACCTTGAAAAATATGAATAAATTGTGGAATCAGAAATTATGACTTTATCCATAGATAATGAACGTGTAAAAAAATGGAAACATTGTAAATTCAAGGAAAAATGATAGCATTTACAGTTCGATGTTTCTGAATATCGTTAAAATATTGAGCTAAGTTAACAGTTTGCGTTACTTTTAAATACTCAGTTTTAATAAATTTTACAAGTCGTTGCTTGCAAAATTGGATTATTTGCTGCTACTGTTGCATACAGAGTTAATTCAGAATTCAGTAGCTTGTTGATCGTCTGCATCTTACTAACAAGTCAGTGGATATTAAATCGGGAATAGGTTTTGTTTTTATAACAAAGTTCTCAATATATTCACAACTTTTATCATAGCAAACTCCACCCATTCCTCTACATCATAAAACATATTTTTTCGTAGCGTTTCCAGACTGGACTATTTTTGAGACACCAGCGCATCTTCTATGTGTCGTGCCCTTCCAGGATGTTGACGAAAATGGCTCTCCATAATTTCCTGTCCTGTGTAGCGCTTAATAAATTTTGTCTTTGTTATATCGCCTAAACCTTGTTCTGTTATTTATTTACTCAAGCTGGCTAGATAGGTTATGTGTTGTTTTCATCTGATTCTCTTTCATTCAATCTGTCTTGTGAGCACCAAATTTTCACACCATTATGTGCCCTAGAAATTTCAACTGTCTCTTCTTCATATCAAGTTTTCTTTTTGATCCATTTTATCTAAAAGATCGTCGTTGTTAACATGTTCCGTCCATGACATTTTCAGGATCCTTCTGTAGAAACTAAATTTATGTTGATTCAAGTCTCTTCTTCATCTGTTAGGAGATTGTCCAGCATTCACTGCCATATAAAAAAGACTGATTTTGCTGTCTGCGGCCTTTTGGCGTAGCCTTTAAAATAACTTGGGCTACTATTGTGCAGACAATCAAATTACAATTTCGAATCACTACGCTTTCAAATGTAGCTCAATTCTATAAATGTTGCTCAGCCTAATAACCCTGACACCGAGGAAGGTGCTTGAACACTGAATGCTATCGTTGTCACTTGTTTTCCAGCGAGAAACACTAGGTATGACTGGCACGAAAATCAGATGCCAATCTACCCATGTAGATGAATATAATGATCATATCGATAATGCTGTTAAACGTTTTCATTTGGGAAGGAAATACGGCATGGCAGTAAATCGAAGGCCATTTTTAACATGTGAACAGATGGATGAAAATATTTATGCCATAATCTCGTCAATGTTGATGTAAATATCTTCAGGCCGCCAGGCAACTATGATGTCTAGATAAATCAGTGGAATTAGCCATATAGTCTTCGTAAAAGAATAATTAAATGACAGAGCTAATTGGACTAACCATATTCAGGTAATGAGTTCATTGTTTGCCGGACATGAGCTGTCAGGCAAATTATCCTGTTTCCCTCCATTACTTGAAGTGAGAAGTAATTAGTCCCATGAATGATTAATATGGAAACCAGTGTTTCTTGAAATAGTTGCTTCCAGACTGAGACAAATTTAATGTAAGAAAGAATAGATCGTAACGACTGGAATAATTATATGGAGCAGAAAAGTGGAATTGTCAAAAAAGGAAGCTAATTATTTCTCTATTCAACTTTTACAAAATGTGCATTATCTGATCTAATATAACATAGTCACGGTATCAATATGTCGTTCGAGACTGTGCTTGGTGACAACGGTCGTTGCTTCGTAGTGGGCCGAGTCGGTTGTGTCGCTGCGTTACACTCTATGACTGTTTTCAAGTCAATAGTCCAAAGCCACACTGGCTCTGTCTCCTACTAAAAATCAAATCAGTCATCTCTGCTGGAGAAATCTTATAGCATTAAGAAGCACAGCACATTAACAACTTTTATTGTCCCGAGTAAGGAAACTTTGCCGATTACTAGTCAGTGACTGAGACGGAGAAGTGAGTAAAAGGGTCTTCCCAATCCTTGCAGTTGCAGACGCAGGTATTCCTATCGAGTTGATAATTCTTAATAAAGAATTTCAGAGGGAAAATCTTTTTCTTTACCAGAAAATATCGCTTTCTCGTTAACTGCTGATTCGCCAATTCACGTCCCAATAAAAAAAGTACCGCCACCTTACTTCTTTTTCAATTAATTTACGCGATTGCGACCGTATAAAATATATCGTATTTTAGATATACGATATATTTCCAATAGCCTCCGCTCTGTGGCTGTTTATTAGTTACAATATTTTTTCTTCTAAAATTTAACTTATTCTTCCCTATTTTACTCACACATTGCTACACTATATGAAATTGTTTAAAAGTTTTCAGCATTTTTTTTAATTCATTGAAATTCAAAACGGGTTTATTCAATTATCAAAAGAATTTCTATAGATTTCTATAACGTTGTGCTACGTTTCAGCTACATTTTTAATCTCATAAAAAATGGCTCCAAGCTTTGATTCGGTTAATCTTCGAGTAATTTTTCGATATATTAAAATTGCAAGAACAGTTGACCTGATTAGAAGAGCGACGCAAGTGATAGCCTAAAGGTGGCAAGTCTGAAGAATTCGTCGCTACTAGAAAATATTCCCATTAAGACTCCATGATCGGTTGATGTGTAACTTTTTCTAGTCTTCCATTTCTGTTTTTCGTAACATTTGTGAAGAAAAGGAAAGAGGAAGAGAGAAGGGGTTACTTTACGGACGGGTTGCTTGAGCCTCAGGGGAATTGTGTCCAGCTAAACTGGAACCAAATGACCAACTGATATTTATGGTCTTGGTCGGAGGAGGATTGTGGGAAGCAGTTAGCCTCCTTATAAAAACCCTCCTCTGTATTCTGATTGACCTATTTTCTCTATCAGCCGACACGTGACTGGTTATTTGTCGTGCTGAAGGATTATTCTTTTTTTTTCTGCTCTGTTACTCGACCTAGTTGGAGCAGGTCGCAAGAGGAGGATTCCTTTTGCAACCCTTACCAGGCTGTCGCTGCTCTCTTCTGGGTTTTCCCTACTTTACTGTGTCGAAAGTTTTTTTTTTCGATAAATTGCAAAAAAGGACCTTCTACAGAAATTTGTTTTTCTTTTTTTTAAAACGGCATTTCTTTAAAAAAAAAAAAAAAATGGATGTTACTAAAGAACAGATCCTTCATAGGTTGACTGTTCTTAAAATCAAAGTCGAGGAACGACTGAAGTTGTGTCGTGGAGACAGAGTAACGCCTCATGTTTTCTCTGTCTTCCGAAAGGATATTCTGCAATACATCTTCGAAATGGAGACTTGTATCACAAAAAATTAGAGCTGGGCTCCTTCCCGAGACGGACTTGCTTGAGACCGAAGCTGAATGGGCGCCTCGACTAATGGAGTTGAGAACTGGGCGATCTGGATGGTTCATTTCTCCCAGTTCCTGCTTGGATCCTGTTTCCCAGTCGTTTGGGGTTCCGTCAACACCTGGAAGAAGTTCGGCTTCCTTTGTTGTCAAACCTCCGCAAATACAAATAACGGGGCCCACCTTTAGCGGACTTGAGATGGCTGACGACCATGAGTTTCCGGAATTTTGACGAGATTCGAAAACTGTGTGGTTGGCATGGCCAATGACTCTGAAAGATTAAACTTTCTGAAATGTTCCCTCTCCGACAGAGCTTTAAGACTGATTAACCATTTGAGTTGCACGGATGCCAACTATCAGCGTGCTCTTTCGGTGTTAAAGAGGGAGTATTTGGACATTGATGAGATAATCGACCAGATATTTCAAGACATTCTAGACTATGTTCCTAAAAAGGACATCTGCTGCTCTGGTCTGGGTGAATTTATCTCCAGGACTGCCTCTCTCTTGGAGGAGCTAGGAATTCTTTTTCTTGCGACTTTTTCGGTGGACGATTCTGGTGGAGCTCGCCTAATGGCCAAGATTCTTTTTCAGAAATTTCCCAAAGAATTGAAGGGGGAAATGATAGGACTAACAGGTAAACGAATACCATCATTGTCTGCTATTTGAACTTACAAGTGAGGCAGTCAAACGATTACGGGTTAAGGGAAGCGCGTCTGCTGCTTTACATTCACCACTGGCCAGGGTTCTTCTCAAAAAAAACGCACGGAGGCCACTGTTACTTCTTCCTTTCATGTGGATTCCAACAACCTGACTTCTGCTGGTTATTCCCGTAGCTTGCCCCCATCCTATTGGTCACTTTTTTCAATGGAGAAAAAAAATGGTGTCAGTTAATTGCCTTTGGACACTGGTAGTGGGCGTTCGTACTTGTCTGCTGATGTACTGAGGGACTTGGGTTCAGTTGAGACTGTTGGAGTCAGTTGTCGGCTTAGACTTTTCACCCTCCTTGGTGAGTGTGACCGGAATTTCACGGAGGTGGTTCTGGGAGTTGACCTTGGTTCTGGTGAGGCTTTGGCTTCCTCTGTTTTGGTCACTGATGCAATGGACTTGTCTGTACGACTGGCTCACTTGGAGACCCTGTTGGGTGCTTTTAGGGCAGCTGACTATAATTTGGCTGGCCAATTTGAGGCCAGGTCAGACCTTGTGCTTATCAAGGCATTATTGGATTGGACCTTATTCATCGATTGATTACATTGAAGTTGGTCCCTGTCTGAGGGGTTGGGCATTTTCTGTTCCGTCAGGCCTGGTTCCCTTTGAACTGTGGACTCCTTTTTGTCAGGAGACAAGATCCCTTGTGAAGTGGCCCACCACCTCTCCTTTAATACTGTAATGGGGATACCCCTGAAGTGAATTCTCACATTTGTGCTTCGTTCTTGAAAAACCAACCAACCTACCTTGACCCTTTTGGCGGAGTTTTTCCTGACAGTGCAGTACAAAGAGGATTGGAACGGATGTTTGACATGGAGTCCCTAGGAATATCTGATGAGGATACCTTCTCTGATTATGATCAAGAACAGATGAGACGTTTTAAGGATACTGTGGAGCTCAAGGATGGGAAGTATTACGGAGCTTCCTGGCATTCTGATAAGTTGGTTCGGGTCCCATCCAATCACGCCGTTTCTTTGCGCATCTTGGACCGGGGCTTCAACCCTGACTAAAAAGAATATTTATCTGAATACTTAGAGGTGTTCCGTCAGCAAGAACAGGATGGAATAATTGAAGAGATTTTTGTTCCCCAACACGAATTTGATAAATATGTGTGGATTCCACATCGACCGGTTTTCAGGTCTGACCCAACAGCTACTACCAAAATCAGACCTGTGTTCAATTGCAGTCTGAAGACTGGTGGTGGATTGTCCCTGAACGAGGCAGCTTACTCTGGGGTCAATCTAACTGGAGATATGTTGAAGTTATTATTGTCTTTCAGAACTAACAATTACGTTCTGCTAGCAGACATTCGAAAGGCATTCTTTGATGATTCATCTCAAGTTGGAGACTGACAAAAACCGGTTTTGTTTCTTCCTTAAGGATGGGGATCGTCTTCGCTGTTTTCGATATACCACCTGATATTCAGGTTCACCTCAAGCCCCTTTGTACTGGGGTGTATCCTGAAACTACATGCAGCAAGATACCCACTGGACGCTTGCCGCAGGATGATTGAGGACAGATTTTATGTGGACAACCTTGTAACATCGGAAGCAGATCCAGTGAAGCTGGCGAAATTGTACTCCCTGGCACGGGAACGTTTGCAGGAAGGCGGCTTTGTTATTCAGTCCTGCAACTCCAACGATGAGGCTCTCCGAGCCAGGATGAAAGAAGATGGTACACTGAGTGCACATGATGAAGAATGGGAGAAAGGTACTGGGTTACCGATACAACCCTCTTTCAGAAGAGATGCACGGGCCCACGTCAGGTGCGATCCTGATGCGTCAACAAAGAGGGGAGTGCTTTCTGAGTCAGCCAAAATTTTTGACCCTTATCTCTTTGTCTCCCAGTTACGGTTCGCAGCCGAATACTTATTAGGTCTATGTGGAAGAATGGTTTGGGTTGGGATGATCCTCTCCCTACTGCGGTTTTAAGTGATTGGAGGGAGCTTGCTGGGGACCTGTCTGGACTGAGTGACTTCCATTTTTATCGAAAGGTTCTCGATGCGAGACAGCCTGAGATATGTACCTCTTTTTGCGACGCTTCCACGGAGGCATATGGATTTGCCGCTTACATTGTGCAAAATCATCGATCGTCCTTGGTGTTTGCTAAGGCTAAGGTCGCTCCGATGAAAGACAAAACTCTACCTGTTTTGGAGTTAATGGCTGTTTATCTCGCTTTCAAGTGCCTACCAACAATCCTGGACAACTGTGAAGGGTTTGTTCCAAGTAACTTATAATGTGGCTACTGATGCCCAAGTAGTGTTGTCTTGGCTCTTGTCTCAATCCATGGCCATCAAAAACATTTTTTGCTAGAAACCGACTCAAGGACGTCCTGCAAATGAACCTTGGGTTAGAATCCGTTACGGCCTGAAGACTCTCTTCAAATATGTGGATTCTGCAGATCTGATCACGAGGGGAATGACGTTGAGGAAGTTTCTGTTCCAACTTCCAATTTTGGTGTTCTGGTCCTTCTTGGTTGTGTGAGGGAATCATCCAGTGGCCGACACAAGACTTGCCTTGTTTAAGCGAGACGTGCCAGCAGATGGCCCGTACTTCAGTGCACTGTTCTATGGTTCTGAACCAAGAATACCTCTCCGTCATACCCTTTCACAGGTTCTCAACATTTTCTGGGTTGAGAGTTACCTCACTGGTGTTCAAGTTCATAGCCATTCGGCTAGGACGGGAGTGGGATTACAGATCTAAGGCAGCCATTTACCTGATGAGAGTTCTCCAACGACATGAATTCCCTTCAGAGGTTGAGTATTTAATGAAGCCAGCAGGAAGATCTGAACCCGTCAGAGTTCGTGCCCTGGATCTTTTTTTTTGGACTCGGATGGGTTAATCAGATCAAGAGGAAGAATCGACCGATCTTCATATTTTTACCTATGAAATCAAGAACCCTATCCTGATAGGGAAACACCACCCTGTGACCAGACTTATTATTTTGGATTGTCATATAAAAAGTGTTGTCACCTTGAACTGGATCTACTTTGGCTGAGTTGAGGCGGAGCAAGTGGGTCCCTCAAGGAAGACAGGCCGTCAACAAGGTTCTAAAGTCATGTGCCAGATGCAAACGATACAATTCGCGACCAGTACTGCCGAGTGCTGCGGCCAGCTTACCAACTCATCGAGTCGAATTTGAGGTCCCTTACCAGCATACAGGCGTTGATTTCACCGGCCATTTCTGGGTGAATGATGGTAAAGCAGGACAAGAAGATGTACTTGCTCTTGTTCACGTGCTTGAATATCAGAGCAATACATATTGAGTTGGTTCCAGACATGAGTGTGCTATCCTTCTTTCAAGCCCTGGTTCGCTTCACCAACCAAAGTGGAGTTCCGGAAGTAATCTACAGTGACAATGCTAAAACCTTTCTGGGAAGCGGAAGACTTTTTAGTCGCCTCTCTGTCTTCCAGGAGTATAAAAGCAAGTATGGTTTTGCGGGTTAAAACTAAAAACCATCCCTCTGTTTTCACCTTTGGTACGGGGAACATGGGAGCGTTGCATTAAAACGGTGAAGGATTGCCTTTTTAAGATTCTTGGCAGAGGTAAACTGATTATTTTACCCTCTTGACAGTGGTCTCTGATATTCAGAGATCGGTCAACAACCGACCTCTGACCTATCAGTTGTCTGCTGATAATTGCTGCTGCTATCACACCCAACATGTTACTTAGGCCCAACAAGAGTCCGGGGCTGTTGTTGCGATTGAACAAAAATGACATCGCTTCTGCAGTACCAGCCAGTAGAAAAAGGTCGTGGAAGCAATGGACATCAGGAACCAGTATTTATTAAGGTTCCATGAGTCCTGGTACAAGGAATACCTTCTGGAGCTGGGAAGAAGGGTCCCAGGACGCACACGGTTTGCGGACAGAGAACCGGCTTCAGAAAGATGATGTGGTCCTGATTAAGAGTCCTCTGAAACCGCGACCATTTTGGGTCTTGGGGACAATTACAGATCTCATACCCGGTGATGATGGTGTGGTCAGGTCTGCTCGTGTCCGAAAGGGGGGTGGTCTCGAAGAGGTACACTCTTTGAAACACCTCTACTCACTGGAACTTTCCCTGACAGCTAACCGTTCTTCTGAGTTACCAACTAGTGGTCCTGTGTCACCCCTGGGAGTGCTTTGATTGCAGAGAGGACGAGGTTCCATCATGTTCTGCTGCCAACGATGAGGAGCATGTCTGGTTGTGTCCTGTGTGCAACTCTCCTCAGGGAAATCTGGACATGATCAGGTGTGATTCTTGTGATGAATGGTTCCATTTTCGTTGTGTTGGCATTGACGAGGAGCCGCCTGAAAGGCAGAAGTGGTACTGCCTGAGTGTGCGCCCCAAAGACGACGCAGGGTAGACCAAGTCTGCTTCCCGCCTAATTGGCAATCAGTTAGCCATTTAGAAATAAGAACTCAACTCGCCTGTCAGGGGAGACATTGTTACCCGTTTTTTTTTTTTGTTCTTTTTGTTTTCTCTCTTCTCTTTCTTTTCTACACGTCTTTTTTTGTGTTTTGCTGTCGAATGTGTGAAAGAAAAGGAAAGAGGAAGAGAGAAGGGTTACTTACGGACGGGTTGCTTGAGCCTCGGGGAATTGTGTCCAGCTAAACTGGAACCAAATGACCAACTGATATTTATGGTCTTGGTCGGAGGAGGATTGTGGGAAGCAGTTAGCCTCCTTATAAAAACCCTCCTCTGTATTCTGATTGACCTATTTTCTCTATCAGCCGACACGTGACTGGTTATTTGTCGTGCTGAAGGATTATTTTTTTTTTCTGCTCTGTTACTCGACCTAGTTGGAGCAGGTCGCAAGAGGAGGATTCCTTTTGCAACCCTTACCAGGCTGTCGCTGCTCTCTTTGGGTTTTCCTACTTTACTGTGTCGAAAGTTTTTTTTTTTCCGACACATTTTCTATGACAACAACAGATAATATGATATATTATTTAGTTTTCTTTACTAAACAGATGATCTCATAAAAATTCAACTGCATTTATGAAGTTTCTTTCACTAACACTAACAAGTAATAATCTTACTTTCTATTACATGTAATACTAACAAGTAATAATCTTACTATATAACAAAATACTAACAATTAATACTTTATATAGTACAATAATAATAATAAATAATAATCTTATTTCATAATACGAGTAATAATAAGTAATAATTGTACTATATAATAGAAGTAATACTAACGAGTAATACTCGAAATAAGTAATAATAATACACTATATGATACAAGTAATATTAATAAGTAATAACCTTACTACATGAGGCAAATGATACTTTATATACTACATGTAATAATAACAAGTAAAACTATATATAATACAAGTAATAAATAAAATAATAATATTATCATATAATATAAGTAATAATAAGAAATAATCTTGCCGTATAAGAACACGTTGTAGACACCGATTCTCAATTAGATCACTGAAATTAATTGGCGTCGAGCCGAGTCAGTACTTAGAGTATTGATTGGGCTCGCTTAGGAACACCGGATAAGAAACTTCTTACAATCCGAAATAGGTTTCACCTTTAAATAACACACAAAGGGTTGATAAGCCGTAAAAACAAATACCGTAATTCCCCATGTATACTACGCCTTCATTCATAATACTCACCCATAAAATTGTGCTAAAAGTGTGGGAAAATGTTTCTACTCACGCATAATACGCACTGCTTGTTTGGTAATCAAACCCTATAAATTGTATCTCTCCAATTTCATTACGGCCAGAGTTTCCTACTCTTATTAAAAATGGTTTAAACATAGAATAATATTATTCTCATTTAGTTTTATGATAATTCTTATTTTATTTTACATTTGTAAGTATTGTTAGGTACATATGATTGTATTTGACATCCTTATGGCGTCGCAATCGCCTAATGTTACTGTCAAATTGTCGTATGTTTGTGGTGGGTACTCATTTCGCAATTGAAATCGACTTATGAAACGGCAATTTTATAAAGATATTTTTGTAGCTGTGCATAATATGCTAATTTTGCTTATGTTTTAGAAAACATGCGTATTATACATGGGAAATTAAGATAGATCAATCAATAAATCAATAACATAGAATACAAATAATTGATTGATTTATTCGTTTTCTTCAGCTTATCAACCCTTTGCAGATTATATTTAAAGCCAGAAAATATTTTTAGATAAATTCTTTTTTTTTGGGGGGGGATAATAATCATTTACAAGTCTTACTAATTAACCCACAGCTGGGGAACAAGAAGTGGAGTCATACCTTTCCATAGGGTATTTGCGAATATAACGAATTTGTGAATATAAAGATCCCAAATGGAAGAGGAACTCGGCTCTCTGATTAACAATTCAAAGCCATTATCCATTATACCACAGGCACATTCAAGCTTACAACACCTGGTATTCCTAAGTGGTCACCCATATAGGTACTGACCAGAATTGACGTTGCTTAACTTTGGTGATCGTACGGGAAGCGGAATACAAGAAATACTAATAAGCAATACTCTATAATATATAAGGAATAACGACAAATAACTATTTTACCATATAATAATAATAATAATAATAATAATAATAACTTAATAATCTAACTATAATTTTTTCTATGTGCCCTGTCCGTTATTTGGGTTGGCCATCATGTCTCTCCACGATTTCCTGTTCTTTGTACCTCAGCAAATTGTTATCTCTCCTAGACTCTGTTCTACCATAGATTTACTCAAGCTCGTTACGTACGCTATACATTGTTTTCCTCTGTCTCTTTTGACTTCAATATGTCCTGTGAGTATCAGATTTTCCAAGCCCTCTTTTCTTGATTATGTGCCCTAGAAATCCCAATTGTCTCTTTCTGATGTTAAGTAAAATTGCCCATTTTATTTTCATTTTCTCTAAAACTTCGCCGTTGTTAAAATGTTCGCCCTATGGTATCCTCAGCATCCTTCTGTAGAACCACAACTGGTTGCTTCAAGTCTCTTCTTCCTCTGTGAGGAAACTGTTCAGCATTCACTGCCATAGTAGAGGAATGTTATTACGTGACAGTTAAGTAATCTTTTTTTTTGATACTAACAAAATTTTCTTATATCTTAATACTTTGCTTAATTTTGGGAAGGCATCTTTCGCTATCCCAATGCGTCTTCAAATTTCGATGTTGCACTTTTAGAACACTTCCCAACTGCAGTAATTGCTTGATTTTGGTGTCTCCAATTTGTGGGCTGTTCTTTTTGCTGACAACCATGCATTCTGTCGTCTTACAAATGATGTTTAGTCCTTTTTTTTTTTGCTTTTTTTTACTAGCTTCTGTAGGAGTTCTTATAGAGTTATTCTGTTATCGTGACGACATTCTGTTATTGTGACGACATTCGCGGCAAATTTGTGACAAGTTTTGGGACAACGTTCTCGGATCCTCCGTCGTTTCTTGCATTGATGATAACAACCCAGGTTGATTGTATTTGCAACTCACTATGTGCACAGGTTTGTCTTGGCCGTGATCGCTTAAAAAAAAAAATAAATGACGATAAATGTTTTTTTTTAAAGACACTGGTTGGGGGTTCACAACATTATGATTTCTCACTTAGCCGGTTATCTTTTCATTCGGCTGAACTGCTGTCCCCCTATCTTAGCTGGTCCTCACTGGCCTCTGGGCTCAGCGATTGCTCATTACAGGTCCTTCTGTCAATGGCCGCTGGGCAGCTACTAACTCGTCTGGTCACCTACCCATTTCTCTCATGGCTGGGCCCCTTTTTTCTACCTCGATTTCCTGCCTCTCTTTGCTTATATAGATAATCGCCAGGGTCTAACCCCTTAGCCAGACACTTGTGTTCCGGAAGACCACCCCAAAGCCATATAGGTGGTCAGACCTTATCTAAAATCAATGATAAAATTTTGCTAATTCAAAGACGGACTAGAGATATGAATCATGAAAACACGTAAATTCAGTTGCCTCAAGTATGGACTGGAGACAAAATTCCTATGAAAGTCAGATAGCTTAGTGGACTTAAAAGGAAAGAATTTATGTCTTTATCTTCTAAAGATGTTTGCTAAATCATATTGTTACACTATACCACCTCCATTTCTTATGTTGTAAAGATTATGGCCGCCAGTAGTGGATCCTGGTATGAATAGCCTTACTATGTAGTTTGAATAAGTCCGGTGAGATAATCTTTCCTTGTCTTAATACAAAAAATAATAACAGTTTTTATTACTAGCATCGAGGCCATGCTTCTGAAGCTACGCTGAGCTGTACACGCTTCCAAGATGGAGAATTATCGCCTGCCTAAAATTTTATTGTACGGCGAGGATTCTACTTTGCTATCGCGGCAGAGGGGGACCAAAGAAGCGATTCAAATATTGCCTGAAAAAATCCTTTGGTGTCTGTCACATCAATCATTGCCAATGATCAACATTAGCTGAGAACCGTGACGCCTGGCGTTTCACCACCAATTATGCTGTCTCCATTTAAAATACCCGCAGTTGGTGGGGGCACTCTCAGGGACAAAACGCAGAGAAGGAAGTACAACATGCCATACCATCGAACCCAGGCTGGACTTTCAGCTGCAACTACTGCGACCGTGTATGCTTGTCCCACATTGGACTTATAAGCCACAAACGTGCCTGCAGTGATGTGTACAGACTCCATGTTGATCTTCGTTTTGCGAAGCCAAGCCATAATGATGATTGTTATCAAATAATCAACTAATCAAGAATGCACTAACGAAAAATAGTCTCTTAAGAACATGTTATAATTAGCTAAGAATCTTAATATACACGCGAACGTCAACTAAAAGCGACAGAGTTGACTTTATCGTGTATTTATACCGGGATTTTGTTTTACTCGGCCATGACTTTTTCACACTGTCATCACACGAAAGTTTTATTGAGTAAAGTGATCGAAGAGGATGAATTTAAATTAGATTAAATAGGCAATGTTTTGCTTTTTCTTCAATAAATGTCTATTTTAACAAAACGGCAACTTGACGATAATTGGATTATCTTCTGTCGAGTCGCAGGACCAGATTGAGTAAAAATGGCAGTTCTTATGATCCATTACCGAGCTACTGAATATATATATGCACAAAGCGACGTCTACGAATAACGATTTAGTAAGCGTAGGTTAGATGTGGCACAAGGCCGAGAGAATAGAGCATTGAATGAAGATCGAACTCACTGATCAGTCGTGAATGATATAAACAGAGAAGCTTGCTAAATATTACACCACATCGAATTGCTCAACGACATCGACACATATCAATTTATAAATCTATGAAGACATATAGGTACAAGTTGGATATCTTTTATCCGAAATTTCAAAATCCGAAAGTTATTCAGGAGCTGATATGACTTGCTTCAAATGGAAAATTTCAGAAGCACTGGAAAGGTTCCTAGGTGATGTGCTGCTGTTGTAAGTGACCCTCATCTGCACTAGGTAGGGGTTCTCCCGCCCAGCTAAAGTAGTCTACGTTGGAGCCATTTTTTTTTGTTAGCGATCGCCACAGCAACACATTCGTTCGTGGATGAATTACCAGTTGTTTGGTGCTCAGTAAATATATTATTAGAAATGTCAAAAGGTCCTACATTTACAGGGGTTGACGTGGAAATTGTTGCCATTTTATATTTTTAATTTCGCGCATGCGCGTTGTTTGTTTTTGATTTTGTCGACTGAACAGTATAGTAGGATCAGTTGGGCACCGTCTCTGAGAAAAAGAGCACCATGACGCAATTCACTCCGCCAGAAATTTGGAAACATCATGCTGTACTGCTTGGCATCCAAGCCGGAAGCTCCAATATCAACATTTCAGAGTGTTTGGGTGTCCGTATATATATATATATATATATATATATATATATATATATATATATATATATGCGTGTGTGTGATAGAAACTTTTGGAGATTTGAAAATTTCTCATAATGACTCATTGAATTCAGAACAAGAATCCTCAACAGAAGGCAGAAGGTACTGGATGGCCGTTTCTTCGTTTTTTGCAACTCAACAGCATATATATATATATATATATATATATATATATATATATATATTGAATTTTATTAAATAAATTTATAAAATTTTATGATAATTTTGGTAAATATATCTGTTAAATTGAGATTCCAATGTTATTTTCATTTTTGCATAACTACTATTTACCCACGCATATGTTTTTGTAAGTCATGTTCTTTTGCATACGTACAGATAATAGAAAGTATTATTTTTATGTGAAATCTTAAAAACTTAAAAATGTATGTGAGCATTTTATGACTATCGTAATTACCTTTATCTGAATGTACACACAATTTATTAAACTTTATATAAAACTACTTCCGGGATATATGTTATTTATATAAAACTACCTTCAGGGCATATGTTTATAAGCTGTGTTATGAACTGTAAAGGGACATTGTACTTATTATAGTGTTCCATTCCCAAGCTGCCATATTTTAAAGATGCCATATACAAATTAATAGCCTGTATTCCAAAAATCGAAAAAAAAATCTGAAAACCGAAGCACTTCTGGTCCGAAGAATTTCGGATAAAAGATTCTTAAACTTTATACTGAAAACATTTGCTTGTGTTACATTTTAACGCATACACAACAAATCTAATGCATATTTGCTGGGGTGGGGATTATTTTTACAAGCAGGTACATTGCTGGCTATAATTTATTTTTGTGGGTATTATATTATTCAGATACAAATCTTGAAATCTAACAATAATAATTTCGTTATTTTTTAATCTGACTGGAAGGATATCAAATGTTGTTTTCATTAATAATTATTATCTCGCACCTTCTTCTATCATGTGCCTTCAAGATGTGGCTCTCTACAACTTCCTGTATTTTTGTTCTATGTAACTTTTGATTCTTGACCATCCCCTTTGTCCTGAACACGTTCAGAAATATCTAAACTGTCAGCTGTATTCAACAGCATTCTCTGATCAGAGGTTAAAACGGCTTTGAGCGAATGATGCATGTAGGTCTTAGTGAGGACTATCTTTCATCGAAGCTTTTTGACTATCACTAAAACAATCACTAACAAAGAACTGTACCAAATAAGAGAATCCACATAACTCAAGTAATTTTCACAGCACTAAACACTAAAACAGATTGCTCATGTGACTTGACGAGAAAATATTGACATAATGAAGAAGTGGACGTTCCACATTACTTCAAACAAAAGGCTAGGAAGGAAACCCTCACCAATACTGGAATCGTACTGGATATGACAATAAACTACATCCGGCAGCAAGACTTCTGATCTGGTGATTGGAAGTTCTGAGGCGGAAGTTCTGCCATTGTTCCCAGATCCACCGTAACTCGGTTGTAGCACCCGTTAGGGTCCCAGATATGGTCAGATAGTGAATCCCCAAACAAAAATAAACAATATATTTTTATAGTAAAATGACCAATACATTTTTGTGACGTACGGTGGCCTTTAATAATTAAGTATAACTCAAGTCTTCAATATTAAATAAAACAATATTTAATTACA